AAAACTTGTAATTATAGACTTCTTAAGTAGTATGTATCAAATTCAAAATTTCAAGGTAGACAACATTTTTTGTGAAACAATTGTGTGATTTTATTTCATCCATTGGCTTTATTAGAACTTCTATGTTTTCTTTTGTTCTTGCTCTAAATAAAGCGACATATAATTAACCATGCGAGAAAACAGGTTCAGGCAAATATAGTCTAACGAAATCTAAAGTTTGACCTTGAGCTTTGTTAATGGTCATTGCAAAACAAGGACGAATGGGAAATTGAGTTTTCTTAAATGGTACCGAATACTTATCTCCTTCAAGTGGAATAAATGAAATTCTAGGTAAAAATACTTGCTTTCCACGATTTTCACCTATTCCAATTTCGGCTAAAATAACATTTCGTTTAAATTCTCGACAAATAAGTTTAGTCCCATTACACAAACCTTCTGAAGGATTAATGTCTCTAAGCAACATAACAGAACAGTTTCTTTTTAGTAAAAGTTCATGTGGAGGGATACCATTTGGAATTAGACTATTTAAAAAGTCCTCATGAATAAATCCTTCTGTTTTATCAATTACTTCATCAAAACTAAAATATGTAAATATCTCTCATGGAATTTCTTTAACTAACATATTATTTATTACATCCACATGTTCATTTTTTTGAGTCAAAATAACTCTGTTCATCATAGTATTCAAATTGTCACCATATGTGTGAAAATTAGAAAACACGATAGCAATTAGTTTTTTCAATGATTCAAATTCACTCTCAAAATCTATTATTATATCTGAAGGAAACTTAATCATGTGACATGTATGTTCTCTTTCTATTCCATTTCCAATTCTAAGTAAATATTCACAGAATAAATGATCTAATTTAGCTTTCATATTCTTAGTCAATGGTAGAAAAAACTAAACTGGCGTTCATGATATCATCTTTTGTTCCTCTTTGTACAACTGGCAACACTTGTCAAAAATCTCCTCTGAACACAACAACCTTTCCACCAAATGGCAATTCACATTCAGTAATATCTCTTAACATTTTATCCAAAACTTCAAAAGCACATCTAATTAGTTATCGATGCTTCATCCTACACAATTAGCTTTGTCATTTGTAAAAGTTGACCAAGTGATGATTATTTACTTACTGAACATCGCATATCAGAACTTGATTCAAGTGGG